CGGGACATTCGCACAGACACTACACTCCCCTCTGATTTCTTTGAAAGGCTGGAGTCTACCACAGAAAAGAGTGTCCGGAACCATCTCCATCCTCCCCAGGTTTTGGGGTTTCCTCACCAACCATGACTGGTCCAAGCGGCTCCAGAGTGGAGTGGGGACTTACAGTCCCCACCACCTCTTCCATCATGACCAATTCCTCCTCAGCCAAGCAAAACTCCAGTGATGGTGGCATCCCAAAGTGACCTTTCAGCCTGCGGCGCTTGCGTCGGCGCCGCACACTGGAGCGGGGAATTGATCCCCAGCTCCCTGAAATCCGACCTAGGAAACGACTCTACAGAGAGTCCTCCAGTACTTGTCCCGCCCCAGTAGCCACCATCTTCCCTGCAGCTCGGGTGGGGCAATCTCTACGGAAGTGCCCCTCCTCTCCACACTTGAAACATACAGCAGGCTTCCGGTCCCGCTCCGTCCATCTAGGGGGTACCACTCCTCTGATGTTTCTGAAGGGGGCAGCTTCCCTCTGCCTAATCAACTCCTCAAGTTTATCTATCCTGCTCCGGAGGGCTCTAAGCTCCTCCCCAGGAGCAACAATTTCCATCCCATGATCATCTTGCTGGACATCTGGGCCACAATCAAGCTTCCTTACTTCTCTCTTGGCTTTAGGCCTATGTAGCCGGGAATGCTGGTAGTACTGCATCTATTCCACGGCTTCATCCACAGTCCGGGGATGCCCGTCAAGCGCATCCCTAACAAAAAAATACTATAGTTAACTATAGTTAACTATAGTTTACTATAGTTAACTATAGTGATAACTTTGACACTTTGAAAACTTTGATTTACTATAGTGATAACTTTGACACTTTGAAAAACTTTGGCAAAAACTTTGACACTTTGAAAAACTTTGGCGAAAACTTTGACACTTTGAAAAACTTTGGCGAAAACTTTGACACTTTGAAAAACTTTGGCGAAAACTTTGACACTTTGAAAAACTTTGGCGAAAACTTTGACACTTTGAAAAACTTTGACGAAAACTTTGACACTTTGAAAAACTTTGACGAAAACTTTGACACTTTGAAAAACTTTGGCAAAAACTTTGACACTTTGAAAAACTTTGACGAAAACTTTGACACTTCGAAAAACTTTGGCAAAAACTTTGACACTTTGAAAAACTTTATCGAAAACTTTGATACTTCCAAAAACTTTATCGAAAAGTCCGATACTTTGAGAAACTTTGTCGGAAACTTTGACACTTTGAAAAAATTATCGAAGTCTTTGATACTTTGTAAAATCTTAATCGAAAACTTGGATACTTTGAAAAACTTTATCGAAAAATTTAACACTTTGAAAAACTTTGTAGAAATCTTGGATATTTTAACACTTCGAAAAACTTTATAAACAACTTTGAAAATTTAAAAAACTTTATAAAAAACTTGGATACTTTAACACTTTAAAAAACTTTATCGCCAACTTTGACACTTTAAAAAACTTTATCGCCAACTTTGAAAATTTCAAAAACTTTATCGAAAACTTGGATGCTTTGAAAAACTTTATCGAAAAGTTTGATACTTTGAAAAACTTTATCGAAAACTTTGACACTTTGAAAAACTTTATCAAAAACTTTGACACTTTGAAAAACTTTGGCGAAAACTTTGACACTTTGAAAAACTTTGGCGAAAACTTTGAATTTTTGAAAAACTTTGGCGAAAACTTTGACACTTTGAAAAACTTTGGCGAAAACTTTGACACTTTGAAAAACTTTGACAAAAAACTTTGACACTTTGAAAAACTTTGGCGAAAACTTTGACACTTTGAAAAACTTTGACGAAAACTTTGACACTTTGAAAAACTTTGGCAAAAACTTTGACACTTTGAAAAACTTTGGCGAAAACTTAGACACTTAGAAAAACTTTGACGAAAACTTTGACACTTTGATTTACTATAGTTAACTATAGTAAACTATAGTTAACTATAGTAAACTATAGTTAACTATAGTAAACTATAGTTAACTATAGTTAACTATAGTATTTTTTTGTTAGGGATATAGGCAAGCATCACGGTCCTCGCCACCATAACACAGATGAGGTATAGCGTGAAGTGTGCTTATCAGGCACACTGGGGAAGGCTCGGGCATGTAGAGGGACCCCAAGGGGCAACCCCCTCCCATGTAGCCTGACAATGACAGAGCAAAAGGTGTGTGACGGGAGCCAATAGACTCGCTCCCCCGGGATAACCATACACACTACACGGAATGCGAGGGTTAAATCTCTCTGGCTGCATGACACTATTGATAGCCCGGCGCGTGTCCAGGCCTAAAGCCGACATGGCCTCCTCAACAGACATATCCATAAATAAATAGCACAATAAAGTAAATCATTGATCAATTCAGAAAGTCGATTCAAGAAAAATACATACAAAATAAACACGTGCTCTCAAGTACCTAGCAGCGCCAAAAATGGCGGCTAAAAACGATGCCTAAAATAATATCTAACTTGACAGCACTACGGGAATCTTCGTGCCCCACGTTGGGCGCCAGTAAAGTAACCGTATAGGGGGTGCTCTGAACAAGTATTTATTTAACAACAAAACATATATACAAACACGGTGGGTTCTGGCCCGGGTCGACTCCCGCTCCTCTGCTGTCCCAGACACGTCCGGTCTGCTCGGCATCCACGTGTAGAGGAGAGAGAGTGCGACTCAATTGCATCATCTCGGGTCTTTCCGTCAGAGGTCGGAAAAACAACCTGGAATGTATTAACATCACCGGATGTTAAAAATTTATACATCTTTCTGTTTATTCAAATATAGGATAGACGGAGGTAGAAGTTCCTTCTATGGTACATTTTAGGTAACATCATTACATTGAATAAAGTTGAACTCCATATTCCACAGATGAAAGGTCTCCATGCATTTATTTCAAAGATCGTGAAAAGGGGGAGTTGCAATGGCGTCTTTCTAGTACATTCGAGGTCGTTTTTCCGCTGGTCGGAAAGACCCGAGAAGTTGCGATTTGGTGCGACTATCCCACCGTCTGAAATAACACAGACAGTAAGTCGTACCACGGGGCAGTCGCATAGATACTACATGTTCTTCACTAAAATTGTAGAGTTTTCTTTTCACACGGGTTTTTTAACGGATTCTACCGTTTTTACCTAATTGGATAAATCCCATTCCTGGCTCTGCGCTTTCGGAAGAGGCAAGATATTTTGTAGTTAAATGAGGTCTTCATTCAAACACGTAGTTTCTGGTTTCTTGTTGAAAGAATGTGAAATAAGATACCAACTGTCCAATTTATTAAACATTTCTTTTTTAAAAGTTAAAAAAAAAATGGTACCACATTTGTCAGAATGGCACCTCCTATACTTTGTGTACTCTCTCACCCAAACAGTTGGGTTACATATACATGTAGAAGTCATGCTGCATGCATTTTTACCATCGTACATGTTGTCCCTGTAAGTTTCACTTCAAGGTCATTGGATGAAACAGCATAAAATTCTTTTTTATGCGGAAGCTTGATTTATGATTTTATGCTTTGCTGCTGTCGGTCGCTCTGTTTGTCGGTCAACCATTAGCTTCCATTCATTTTCTTCGCAGAGGTTCTACATATTAGTGAAATTTGGTACATAGATTTATCATAAGAATATCTAGGTGAAATTCTGCTACGGGTACCTAGTTCAAATTTTATTTTGGGTACAATCGCAGAAGTTACATCTGCTGAATGAAATTTGGTATACAGAATTTTCATAAGAATATCTATGTCAACTTCTGTTTTGGGTACGATTAAGCGATTTTTGACAGAGTAACAAGTATTCCTCTTGGGCTTAGAAAAATTCCTATAATTATTTGGGGGAGGGGAATGTCATGTTAATGGAGAATTTCTGACAGCTTTTAATTTATTGAGTACAAAGACTGATAATTATTCAAATTCAAGGTCCTCCCGGCAGATTCAAAGTTACTGACTGAAAAAGTGCAAAACTTCTCATCTTTGTAATGGAAAATGACTAAAAGCTCACATTCAGTATACACTTCGACATCTATCAGAACCTTGGTCCAAGTCATTTCGGCTAGTACATTGTTACTTGCAGAAAACATTTTCCGGGGTGTAGCTTTGTAAAGGTGAATCATTACACATTACGCATTTTTTCTTATTCTCCTGTTTTGAATTTTTTATTACGAAATATTCTTTTTAAACAAAGCGACTCAAAATGCGAATTAAATTTACATAACTTGATCATTTCAAGATTATATTAGAAACCAATCTCAAATTTTAACTGATATATTAAATAAAGTAAACTTTATTTCATCTGAAAAAGCCATATTAAATCATTTTCAAAGCCTAACTCATATTTGTCATTACCAGTGAGAAGAGAGGAAACCCAACAGCCGTTTACTCTAAGCGTTACAATTACGTACTACTTACTTTCGTGGTTAGATGGCATATGATTTTCCTTATCTTTTAAACAATAATGTATAATCATTAGCAATTTTCCACAAAAAATTAAAGCCTGGACGTACAGCCTGTAAAATTTATAAAAGTCAAGGCCCAAGATTGATGATTGATAAATAATGAAATGTTCTGAGGATGCTAAAAACTAACCTCAAATGTGAACAAGGATCAGAGAGAAAAGAATAAAATACCGCCGATTTTAATTAAAGTTCTCGGCTAGTCATGGTGAAAAATGTACGCCTGATTATCTCTGCATTAAATTACTATCAATCAGAGCTACTGTAACAAATTGTGCCATTAGAAAATATAACCTAACTTTATATACCGGTGTATGTTGATACAGAACGTTCTATGCACATTAGATTATCTTACATGTGTATATTAATAAATAATAATAAATTTAAAGCCCCTTAATGTTTAAAGAAAGGAAATCAAATAAATACAAAATTAGCATTCACGCAGCGATACATTTGGTAAATTTCATCCTTTCAAATACTCTGAAGTTTATTTTTTGAAATTCAAATTTTATTTGTTAAACCTGTTGGAGCCTCTACACAACGACACCTACATTTGTTTACAAATGGCCGCGCAAAGTATTGTTCGCAACCTATCGGAGGAATACTTAACGTGTCGCGTTTGTTTACAGTCCTACGATCGTCCGCGTCGTCTTCCCTGTCAACATTCCTACTGCACAGATTGTATACGCCAGCTGATAAGGACTACAGAAAATAGGCGTGGAAAATTGACGTGTCCACTCTGTCGATCCGATGTCATAGTACCAAACGTTTCGCATGACGAATTTGTCAATAATTTGCCTCTGGATTCGCTGATTGCTGACCTACAGATAACTTTATCAAAACACGACCAAACTCCGGAAATAACGCGAGCAGACGTTTGTTGCGATCATTCGGGGAAGGAGCTTGATCATTACTGTTTTCATCACGCGCAAGTAATATGTGCAAAGTGCATTGACACCTCTCATTCGGGAATACTTTGTCGATGTCTGCCTATAAATGAATCCTATCGAGAGCTTCAGCCACGAATAGAACGAGTTCTAAAACGACTGCATTTGAAGGTATGTTTTGCTTTTTCATACAACGACTTGCAAATGAATTTTATTTATTTATAACTATGGTAAGAAATCGTTTAAATTAAACTTGGGTCAGTGTTGAAAATGCCTTTTAAGCCGTGCATGGGATTAAATGGGCTTGTCTGTTTAATGAAAAGGTTCAGAACTAGGTCATTTAAATATATGCTGTTGGGTTGTGAAACCTATAGTCAACAGAGTTGGTATTTGCATTTAATGTGAATTCAATACAAGGAACTCTCTATACATTTAACACCGTACACTGTATGTTTTTTATTCTGATAAAGAGCTTAGAAAAGATTTGTTCTCTGTGTATTTAATTCCCCCCTGCTATTATACTAAATCAATAGTTAATAGGTTCAAAATATGACGGATAAAACGAAGATAAAGTCTTACAATATAAATGTGATGTAAATCATATCAGTGAGGGAAATGAGCGCTTAGTGCTTCCTCGAATAACGGATGATACCAGTCTGGCATTTATTTATATTACTTGGATTAGAGGTTATTTTGAGTGTAGCCGATGAGTAAAATTAAAAGGTTGTTCCAAATATTGTATTGCGAATCTTTTCGATTAAGAATTTCACATCAAAGAGGGTTTTTACCGACGTTTTGATGTTATGTATTTCAATGAAGGAAAATATTAATTTAATAGGTACGTACGGTTCTATTTTTTTATATTTACTGTTAAGCCATTAATTATTAATATATATCTGTATAGATGTTTTTTTCAAGTAACTCTCCATGAATTTGCACTTACAAAAAATGATGAGTTCAAACAATGGATTTTTTTTGTACTTTTTAGCTGAATGATGCAGAAGTTGAGACAATCCACGATCGCTCGTTTGAGGAAAGTAAGCAGAAAACTTTAGACGAAATCGCTAACTTGGAGAAAGGAATAGAGAACATATTTGAAACCTGCAGACGACAGATCTCGGTTCTTCGCTCTGACATTCAGAAGTTAAATCGAGAATATTTATCGAAAAGAAAAGATTTTTTTCATGCTGTTAATTTACTGCTGGAAACAACAAGTCACATTGAATGCCTAAAGAAAGATAAGAAATACAAACACTTAATTGAATTGCTACCTATTATCGAAAATCAACTGGAAACTAACTTTGATACACCGACCTCCAAAACAGCAAGTTTAAAATTGACCTTGTATGACGAGGTAAAGGAATTTCTTCGTGGATTTTCTGCAGTAGGATTTGTTGAACTAAAGGGAGTGAGAAGTGACTTGGACACCGATTTTTCAGATTTGCAATTAAAAACGAACAACTCCAGTGCACCTCCTCTATCCATAAGCCATATTTTGAATAGAATTAATTAAAATGGCGGGGAATAACGTTGCGTTTAGCGTCGACCAGAGTTTTGATGCTAAATTACCCGATGAATTGTCTTGCTACCTTAACAAAATTGTTTACCTTCCAGGCACTAGTGACTTGTGTATTCTAGATAGAGAAAATGCCAAACTCAAACGATTTTCTGTATTTGGTGACATTAAAGGATCACTTTCACTAATCGATGTTCCACATTCTATGTGCTGTATTAGACAGAATGGGAACATAGTTATAACGAAACCAGACAAATCAGTGTTAGAAATAGTTGAAACTTCACGCGAGAAATTTAACATTCAGAGATATATCCAAACCGACAAGAAATATTTCGGAATATGTCAGATTTCTGAAGATCGAGTAGCAGTTTCCTCATGGTCTCAAGCTTGTATCGACATTATAACCGTATATGGTGTCGTGGAAGTGTCCATTTCAACGGAACTAATCTTGACCTGTCCTGAGAGTGTCCCCAATATGTTATGTATGACATCTGAAGGTCACATTGTAGTTTCGGATCTGAAGAATTTGGTGTGTTGTATTTCACAAAGTGGAAGAGAAATATGGCGATTGTCAGTGAACGGTCACATAGGTGACGTAACCTGTGACAAAGAATCAAAAACCTTGTACTTAGCGCTAAAAGATGAAGGATCTATTTTAAATGTTAGTGAATCCGGAAGTAAAATGTCAAATATTTTAAGCTTCAAGGACAAAATACCGATTTCTCTTGATATAAAAGAGATGAACATGTACATTACAGATAAAGATTCCAAAGTGATCATATGCAATAGAAGTTGACATGTGAAACTGTATGTCTTTCTCTCGTAGACATTACAATTAAATAGTACACATTCTGTAATTAAATAAAAAATATAGATATATACTACGCACTGATGTTGCTTTTCTTTGATATTTCAATAATATTTTCTCTAACATGAATCGTTAAGGATTAATCATTTTACTTTGTACACTTGATTTACTATGATCTGAGGAATCTTCTAAACACTGAACACCAAAAAAATGATTAATTTTATGGCGTTTGTAGAGTGATCATCATTTGCTTATGATCTAATAAAATAGATATCTACAATGTACTACCCATTTTAATTCAAAGCAAGGATTCTAAACGTACGTACATGTATATATTTATTTCAGGCGGAGAATAATTCAACTTTTCAAGTAACATTATAGATGGATGATACCTTTATTGTTCAAATGTTATACTGCAGAGAAAAGTTCTTGCTCTATAATGTAGCCCCTTTCTTTTGTGAACAAATTCCAAAAAACATCCAATAACCTTAAATATTTTTTCAACACTATTTAATTTAATAGAAAGGGGGAACTATTCATTTTAGACACAATGAGAAAAATTGCATCCTAAGGGTGACGATCGCAAAAGATGCTTTATTGGCGTAAGATATTACCATCATTTTACCATCATTGCCCCTAGGGAATGTTGACATTCCTAATAATTGGCTTCTTCATCATTATTGGTCTAGTAATTACTTGGAAATAGTATTCTCACAAGACAGATAATGCTTCACCTCTCAAGTTTTCGGAAGAAGAAAACCGATTAAAACTGAAGATCTGCAAACTAAGAAAACGTCGCCGCAAATGTTAGTTGTAAAATTGTGATTTACTTTTTAGTTAGCTGAATGACATCTCATATCAGAATGACAAATTGTTCGTATTTGAAAGAGTAGGTCGGTATTTTCCTTTATTTCTATTTGAAGAAGCTGTTACCGATATCCTGGTCGTGTTTTTCATATGCACATTATTTGTCTCGATCGCCAATATTTTAATAATTTCTCTCATTCTCAATAAAAATATTTGATAAGCATAGATGCAACATGAATGGTTTTCAAATTACTGTTACATACCACCTTGTTTTAATAAATTAAAAACACCTGTCAAGTACATTAACTTGCGCGACTTCGTCTCTTCTCTTCAGATTATATTGGTGATAAATTGTCTTCACCAAACTTTCAAAATTCCATTATATAATCCTTTTCTAAAAAGGAGAATTTATTGTAACGGTGTAAACTATATATTCTTTCAAAGTTGTTCATTATGAAAATCTACTTCTCTTTGGTCGTTATATTTTAATAAGAAATTTATTGCGTCTGACTAAAATGTAACATCAATATTAGAAACAACGCAATTTTTAGAAAATTTATCAGCTACCGAGTAATTGATTTCCTTGATTTCATGACTATGTTACACACATAACTTGATTTATTAACTTCATATACATTAATGAAACATTGTAGATGTACAAGTATATTTTAAAGTCACAGAAACTTATGCTCTGGTTTTTATAATTCATTCATTTTCTTTCCAGTTTTTTCCTCTGTACAGTGATTAAATACAGGTTCAGTATTAGGTTTCGAAATTTTTATCCTTTTTTTTAATAAACTTCATTCTTAAATATATAGTTCAGAAAAAAATCTTGGCAAGTATCCTTTGGTTTATAAATATGAGAACTTGAATGTTTTTAAAAAATGTTTAAATTTTCTGGTTATATTTCATGATAAGAGAAATCCAGGGATCTGTCCCTCGCTAACCGTGGTTCCATTTGACGAATTTCCTGATTCAAAAAATTTGATCTGAGTGTCTTTGAAATTTATTTCTCTCTTCCCCTCGACCCCCCGATACATGTGACGAAACTTTCCCACAACAATGACCACGACATTGTATCGTGATCCTGCATTTGTTTGAAAGGGGGTAGGTAGAAGTACATCATATATTTCCTCAGACTCAACGCTTTTGAACGCCAGGCCGAGGGCTCTTATAACGTTGTTACTGCTGTCAGAAATCTCTAAATGGACATTTATAGTTTGTTCTATGTAGGAACCATATAGAGCCACCCCATGAAACCATAACGGCTTTGACGTCTCAAACATGATTGCATCTGGCCGACCTGTGTGTTCCTTCAATTTCTTGTCGAGTTTCTCGAATCGAAGAACTCGGAAATATTCAGTTGTCTTTCTCAAGTTTCGATTGAATTTAAAGTCGCAATTCTTTGGACTTCCATCTGTTAAACACTCCATTATACTAGTCTTTTCTTCATCATCAAGGATATTTCTGCCAAATATTTCATAATGAAAGTATTCTTTTGGCATAAGTGTAAACCTTATTTGATAAATACTCTCACCAAACTGATCCCGGATATTTTCGTCTGTGATTTCTAAAGCTTTCTTGAGGCACTGTGTTGACGACCATTTCAAACAACATTCGTACAACTCTTGTTCTGAAATATTCAGATCGTCTGATTTCAGTATATAATCAAGTGTCTCTAAACTAATATTACAAAATGCCTCTGAATTCAAACATTCTCTTGTAGACTTATTGATCATTTCCATTGCCCTGTCGCGCATTGTTAAGGCGTGTGATAAGATTGCTTGATCTAATAAATAGGAAACATTATTGACATCAACTTCTTCATTTAGCAACCTCAAGCAGAGTTGCACAAGATGGTTGACTCGAAACCGCCTGGCAACAGGCAACAATGACTTTGCTAATTCTAAGTTGATATCAACTTCATCGGTGTAGAGATATCTAAAAAAAAATACCATGCAATGTAAATGGCTGTATGTATGTTTTCCTACTATACTTAAAAATTATTTTGCTGTGTAATTTTAGGGTTATTACCTAAGAAATGTTTGAAAAGTATCCACTTCAATGTTAGGTATATTCACTTTGTAGCGGAATTCTTCGCTAGCAGAGCAGGATCGGAGTTTCTCGAAGAATACAGGACTTCTAGCGATTAGAATGAATCGGTGTGCCTTGACTTCAATTTTTTCCGGGCCAACAAAGATGGTAACATCGCAAGCTATTTGATTGGTCAACATATAATGGACACATTCCACAACTGATTTGTCACACTGCCATTCCTGATTTCTTATGATCTTTGAATTTGCTTCCTTTTTAGGCTGTTCCAAAGGAGGCGGTAAAAAGCATTTTGCTTTTGCTTTTGGGGTTTGTTCATCAAAACCTTTCGTTTCCATACTGAAGTAATAAAGGACAACCTTTTAAATATGATTATCCCTGTATTGTCGATACGTAGGTCTTCGGATAAACCATATCAAAAATGCTGTAAATATGAGAGAGACTCTTAAAAGTTAAAATACCTTTAATACCTACTATTTTTGTAGAAACCCTGATTTTCTTGTAAAATATTGATTTACTATTATAGAAAACAAACATTTTCCGTAGTAAACTAAAATTTTACTTCTAATATTTTTGTGTTAGAGTAGTCATTGGTGTTACATAGAATTTGACGTGTTTGCAAAGCGATATAATTCTAGCTACCCTGCCTTGGAAAAAATTGCCTCACATCAATTTGATCCGAAAGTACTGGAGATAAATGTCAAGCACGTTTAATAATTTTAAACAGTCTTACAAATAAAAAATTAAAGAACTAGCCTCTTGAAAATGTTACCATAATTTCTAACGTTAACATTTAAGAAAATAAACATCTAATTTCTCTGGATTGAACTTTGATATTTACTGCATGTATTTGGTGGACTTTTCATAATAATTGCGTTACTAACCTCCAGACGTCCTAATTCTAATAAAATTAAAAATAAATCTGTAAAGATTTGTCATACGTCTTCTGAACCATAATGGGACTAATGGGACGGCCTTTTAATGGTATTTTATCCTGAGACTTCTTTGAAGTAAATACTTAAATGTTTTCTTTGTCTAAAAATGTTACTTTAATTAAATGGTCTCATCAGTGATCTCAATAATTCATATAAGATTGTCTGGCTAAACTCTTTATTGCCTTTCATTAATGCAGTATAACACCTCGAGTGTACGCTGTAGATGTATGCCAACTCCGTAAACAGTGCGTGCTGAGTTGCTAATTCAGCTCTAAAATATTTCTTTATATCAGATAATTGTCGACATATGTCAATAAAGACTCATATTTGACGTTTGGATTGCGTGTAAAGAACACTAATGAACATAATAGAGAAAAAATACCCCTGTCGGCCGAGTTCAGATTAAATTGATACACTGTCAGTGTATCATCTTCATTTAGAAATTGTTTCTTTAATAATGACATACGGTATATCAGATAAAGCAATATTCTTCTAAGAACTCCATTAATAACGATATTATACTGGTATGGTATCTTGTATGTAACATGATGCTGTGTGATTATTTGGAAGAATCAATCATAGGTGGCAATTATTTTGTATTTAAGGAGAAAATATCAGCAAGACAACAGAGTGCAGACAAGTAGTGAAAATACTGTCTAGTAGTTTGTTTTGAATTTTGACCACTCACTTGGTCTTTTTTTAAAAATTCAAACAGTTTAATGTATAGCACAATATTGGTAATAATAATTATCAATTCAATAAAATGTGTCATACTATTGAATATCAGATAATTGTTTGAACTATTGGAATAACGGAAAATTGGAATAAAAAATTGAAATAATATTATTGAAGAATGGTGTTTTTCTTTTTATATCTCAAAACTAACAAATGAAGGAGTTATCAAATTTTATAACCATCAAAAATGACCTTTTTATACAAAGAATATCAACACCAAACTTTAACATCAAGTATAAAATGATTAAAAACTTTAACTTACAAGATGAAGTTTGTGAATCTCTTTCGTATTCAACACAATACAAGCATGGCCGTACGGAACATTGAATTCGAAAAGAATTTTAAACTGAAGTAAAAACAGGTTGTTGATTATTCAGTATTAATAAGTTACGTAAAATATATATTTTACATTTGTTTAATTACTTGGCTATATTGCCTTGAGAATAATACATTCTTTAAAATTTATGTTAAAATAATTTTTCCCATAATTTGTTTTATGTAACAATTACTTTTCTCTCTTCTTTTCGGTATTGTCATAGAATTATTAAGTTCATGTCCTAAATTTTTATTGAAAATTTCTTTTGCTTAACATCTGTCTTGAGAAATCTCTTTCTTAATCTCTTTCTTCATTTTTATTTTAATGTAGGTCAATGTTTTATCATTCACATTGATAATTGTACATTAAATCAAATACAGATCGAGAAAACATACCTGGGACTGTCGTACTTGTCTTGCTGAATTTTCTTCTACAAGAGTTATCTCTCTTAGCTCACTGTGTACTACAGGTGCTCAACTGCTCATTGGCATTTTCTTTATACATGTTTAAAAAAATTAAAATATCTGTTCTACTTTTCCTTCTTGTACTTTGGATGGTCTGTGTTCATTTACATCAATTATAAGAGAACCAGTTGTGCACATTGTAACTAAATTTGTCAGCATTTTAAGAAAAATTAGCTTAGTTTTCACCACATTTGTATACAGATCTAATAGATAAATGTATTAAATTCTAAAGACTATTAGAAAAAGCACTGAGATGATTGATCAAAGCACACAGTCATTTAAAAAATGTTAAGAAAAATATATTTTAAAAAATTAAAATGCACCACTTTTACTCTATATCTTTAAATAAACAATCATAGCCACATCGTCTCAAGCCACAAGTAGAGCTCTATACATGTATATCATTCTACCAGAATGGGAGAGGATCATACATTTTGGCCATGGGTTAAATAAATGCAACGATGCCATAGCCCTTAATCGATGTTTTTTTCGTAAATTTATAAACACAACAAACTATATATTCATAAACTCATTTTAATTTACCTATTGCTTCACAATTATTTCCATATCCATTCGTGATGAACGCCTCGATTTTTCTTTTAAGGAGGCCGGGGGTCAACAAATTAACCATAAGATATAACTTCAATAAAGAGTTATGTCAGAGGGAAACAAACTGATTTGCACATTTTGTTCTTTAATAGGGAATTCAAGAACTTTTAAAACAATTATACACTGTACCTATTGTATTCCTAGAGGAATTTGTTTGTTTGTATTTTGTTTAACGACCCTCTCGAGAATTTTCACTCATATGGAGACACCACCACAACTTGCCGGTGGATAGCTGCAAATTTTGTCCTGTACTCGGCACTTAAAACCACTGAGCAATGAGGGATCTATTACCTCGGTTTATATGGTCTCATCCAGACGACTGGTTTCCATGTCCCAAAGTGGGATTCGAACACGCGACATAAAGATCAACACCTTACCTTGCAACTCTAGAGCAAAGACGCTCTACCTCTGTCCTACGCGGGAGGAAATTAGAAAATTTCAAAATTTCTCTTGTAAACATTGCTTCCTAGAAGTTAAACAAAATAGAATCGGGCCATTTAGCAGTCAATCGGAAACGATAACAAAAGCAAACACTCTTTTTTGTAAGATGAAACAATGAAAGAATGGTAGGGTAATACCGATATTGACTCAGGTGACCGTTGTGGCCCATTGCATTAGAAGCAATAGCCTGCATACACGCTTGCTGTGGCTTTGTAGAGTTTTGAGACGGTTCCTATTCCTCTTCCATCGGTAGTAAAAATGAAGTTTGTGACAATAGGAAGTCTGACGGTACAAGCGCCTGTGTGACGACGTAGTCGTTTTGTGAAATCTTGTGATTGATATTATTTCGTCAGTCAAAATTATAATCAAAATTTGTTATCGTCATACATTTTGTAATGTTTTTTAAAAATGAGATCGATATACAAGTATTTTTTTTTGTCGAAGAAATACAATTTGTCAGTGAAAATGCACCTAAATTGAAAATTGCAACAATGAACGTACAATGTACGTGTGTATGTATATTGAACGAGAAGAATACTTAATTATGCCCTCTCCCAAAATACAGTGTAATCGGAATTTTTATTAGTCTCATTGACATAACCCTTTCAAAAATGGCTCAAACGTACCCAAAAAAATAACTCGACCTAGATATTTTCAAGATAGTAAATCTGTATAGTACTGCATTTCATTCAAGTATGTGCAACTTCTGTAAAGAAAATAAACTGACACAGCAAATAATTGGAATTTTTCAAAGTCAAAGGAAAATTACTCTGTCCAAAATGGCCCGATCGTACCCAAAACAGAACTTGACCTTGATATTATTGTGATAAATACGTATACTAGTAATTAATTTTATTAGATTATGAGCAACCTGTGCAAAGAAAATGAACGGAAACTGATGGTGGACCGACAGACAGACCTATCAACCGATAACCAGGAGCAAAGCATTATCGAAGGGGGTGCATAAAAAATATTGGTTTTTACGATCGTGTAGGTCTACAATTTTTACATTCCCGTACCTTTAGAGCTGAGCTTTCATTGTACAAATTCAATACTACTGTCTATAAATATACTGTTAGGTAATGAAGAATGAAAAAAATAGTGTACTAAATTGTAAAAACCATGCGTAAGTATTCTCTAAACAAAAACAATTCTCAGCTTTTGCTGGAAGACGTGAAGAAAACGTGTATAAAAATTCATTCAGCCACATTAAGTTAATGATTTAGTATTGAATAAAGTATTCTTATTCCCAGTAACATATTTCATGTTTAATATACCCTGTACTTTTTGCCCCATATTTTTTATAAAATAGTCGTAGAACATTTATTTTTCCCCCTTAAAAAGCTATTTATGCATATAGCTTTTTTAAATCAAAGGTACCCTCGAGAAATATACGCTTGTAGATCTATTTGAAAAAGGATTTAATTTATGGTTAAATTCTTTTGACTTTGAGAGGTCGATTATGTAATATGCATTTCAAAAAATTCAAAATTTAAGAGTACAAAAATATTGTTCTTTATTTGAATAAAAAAAAAACCAACATCCGGATCCAATTGTTTTACAACATAATCTGTCAGTCGACAAAATACGTGCGTTAAATACAGTATTTAAATCTGCATTTTATGAAAATAGACAGCATGTGTTCATCGAGAAAATGTGAAGATACCTTAAACGCTGCATTATATATCAACAAAAGTACACACATAAATATATTAAGATATTATAATCAAAGTATATAAATTTAAAGAAAAATGCAAGGCTGTAGGAATGATTCTTTTTGGTTTTTGTATGCAACAATTCATTAATAAGAAACTTTCATGTCAAATTTTAACTGAAGG